CCCAGACTGGAGTGCAGTGGCCACTCCTGGCCACCGCAGCCTCGCCTGCTGCTGGGCTCCAGCGATCCTTCCGCCTCAGCCTTCCGAGTAGCAGGAGTTACAGGCATGCGCTACCACGCCTGGCTGATTTTTTGATTTATTGTAGAGATGAGGTCTCGCTGCCCGGGTGGGTCTTGAACCCATCGGCTCAGGCAATCCACTCACCTCAGCCTCCCAAAGGCGTGGGATTACAGGCTGAGCCACCGAGCCCGGCTTTTAAACTATATTTTCTAATCTAACCTCTGTCTTGCCTCTGAGTGTTGGCCTCCTTTCCAATCTGTGAAAGGTGAACAATAAACTTTCCTTCTTTCTACTTTGGTTTTTGTTTTTTTTTGAATTGGAGTCTCACTCTGTCACCCAGACTGGAGTGCAGTGGCATGCTCACAGCCACCGCAGCCTCGACCTGCTGGGCTCCGGCAATCCTTCCATGCTTCAGCCTTCCAAGTAGCCAAAACTACCGGCTCGCGTTACCACACCCGGCTAATTTTTTATTTATTGTAGAGACGAGGTCTTGCCAAGTTGCCCAGGTGGGTCTTGAATCTCCAGGCTCAGGCAATCCACTCTCCTCGGCCTCCCAAAGTGCTGGGAATGACAGGTTGAGCCACTGAACCCAGCCACTTCTTTCTACTTAAAAAAAAAAAAAAAAGGGTGTCTCTGATTCCCCCCCCCCGCCCCGTCCAGTTACATCCAGTCGTGCTGGGAGCTCTCTTCTTTTTGGAAATGCATCCGGCAGGACAGTCCAATGTGACATCAGATACAAACCTCATTGACAATGTAGTCCAGCAGCTCGAAGATGGCCATCACGGGCCGGCTGTCCATCCCATGACCTGCATGGCGGGAGACAGAGGACAGAAAACCGAGGTGAGATGGGAGGAGCTTGAGCTGGAGGTCGGGGCTGAGAGGCTGAACACGGCCGGCGTCACCGTCCCACACCAGTGGAGCCGGGGAATGCATGCAGAACACAGGACCACACTCCCAGCCTGGCTCCTGCACACACCTCCTTGGGAAAGAGACTTCGTGCCTGAGCCTCTAGTGAATAACAAAAAAAAAACACACAAAAAGCAAAGAGGAACAGGAGCATTTTTTGAGAAGTCACACACTTGGCCCAGGGCTGCCTGGGGGCCGTGCCAAAGTCATCACCCCCTGCTCCCTGGCAGGGCGGGGGAGGGACGGCACTGACCGCAAGTAAGGACAGCAGTGTGACCTTGCACGGAGCTGCCGGCGGTGACAGCGACAGGCTCGGAATGCCACTCGGGACGGGAAACTGGCTTGGGGTGGCTGACCCCTGTCCGAGACCAGCTGGCAGATCTGGGTTTGGCAGCTGGACTTTTGCCTCCTGTCCTGGCCAGAAATGGGCACGTCGGGCGGGGGCGGGACCAGGGCGGAGGCTTCTGGAAGAGGTGACGGGCCTCCACGCCTTCCAGGACCTGAGGCTGGAGTGGCCAGGCTTGAGGACAAAGACCCGGGGGGGGCTCTTCCCGGAAGGAGATAAAACCCCAGCAGTCTGACTGTCGGGAAACACCGGACCCAAAGAGACCATTACAATCACCGCCTGACAACCCGACATCTGCTCACGGGCGGACGGGCACACATGGCCTGGTCTCTCCATGCAGCAAAGCATCACTCAGCCTGAAAAGGGGAGGGAACCCTGACACACACTGCAGCATGGAGGGACCCCGAGGATGTGACGCTCAGTGAGAGACCCAGACACAGAAAGACATTCAGCGTGTGACTCCATTTCTATGAAGTGTCCAGGACAGGCCAGTCCACAGAGCTAGGACATGGATTTGTGGGTGCCAGGGGTGGGGGCGGGGAACTGGGGTTTTCACTTGGGGTGGTGGAATGTTCTAGAATTAGAAATCACTGGAACACACGCCTTAAATGAGTAAAGTAGAGGGCACATGAATTCTAGTTCGGTAACGTTGTTATAAAACAAACCAGCCAGCCACAGACCACTACTCAGGCTCCGGCCCGACTCTCTTCCTGTCTCCTGACTTAAGAAAAAACAACGTCCCAGGAACCAGGGGCGGCCCGTGGTTCTTCCCCTGCGGGGACCCGGCCCTGCACTGTCCCCATGTGGCGGAAGCGTCCCCTGGACGTCTGGCGCCAGGAGCGCTCCTCATGGGCGCTGCTCTGAGCCCGGACTATTCTCTGTGAGTCCAGCTGTCCCCCGGGGCCCGGGGCCCTCCACTCCCGCCCTGGCTGTGTGGGGCCGAGGCCAGCAGGCCAACTACGAGAGTCAGGTCAGGGCTTCCCTACACCAGGGCTCCCAGGACAGCTGGGCCCCACCGTGGGAGCGGGTCGTGGGCACTTTCTGGGCAGTAGGGACGGGGGCGATGGCTGGGCCAGTCTTCCTGCTCTCCTGGATGTCTGGGCATTTCTGTGATAAAATGCTGGCAAAGCTGCCCCACCAGGCCTGGCTGCGGCTGCGGCTCCCGATCCTTCCCACTGGCAGCAACAGGCGCAGCTGCCCCGGACCAACGGGCTTGGGGCGCTCGCTGCGTCCAGCTCTGTCCCCAGAAACCCCAGGACATCTGAGGACTGCTGACCGCGGCCCGTGCCATCAGGGGACAGGTGGTACCAGAAGGGGCCAGGGGGTGGCAGCTGCCGTCCCGGGAACAGCAGTCCCCACACAGGCCGCTGCCCGCGCAGACCGGAAGTGGCCGACGGGGCCCTACCACTGATGGGGCGTCCGGGGGGTCTCGGCCGAGGCGAGATGCTGTGAGGCTCTCCTTCTGCCCCGTCGACCACGGGCCGGCCAAACATGGCCTCCAGCTCCTTGGCGTCGGGCGGGGGGATGGGGTACCTCCCGATGGACAGCTCCACCAGGGACAGGCCCATGCTCCAGATGTCCGACTGCACCGAGTAGTGTGTGCCCTGCAAGCGCTCCGGCTGGAAGAGAGCAGGGAAGGCGGGGCTGGCCGGGCTGGCCTGCCCCGCCCTGCTGCAGCCCTGGCCCCCTCCTTCACGGAACACGGGCACCGAGCAGGCCCCCC